TCATGGGTAACACTCCTGGTAGTAGTAACACAGGACTCAAATTGGGCAAGACACTTACGGATGCTGATGTTATGGAATTATCAGCTCTGTCTGGTTTTACACCCGAAAAAGTGCGTGAATGGCATGTAGGTTTCATGGTAAGTATGTTATATATACTTTTTTTTTAATTTTAACTATCATATCCATTGTTTTTAATAATTATTTGATTGTAAGTGAAATAAACAGTTTATTTGTGTTTTATATTGACAAATAATATTATTTTAGTAAAAGAATAAGTATTTATGTTTTTAAATAGACTTTTTGTCTTCATCTAATGATATTCAACTTGGTCTCATTAGATTCAGAGTGTATCGTAGAGAAATAAAACGAGATTAACTGAATTTATGTTCGTTAATTTAAATAATCTTTTGTCAAGTGGTATGTCTCTATTGCTTTATACTGTATATGAAAGAAAATAATTGCATGCATATTCTCCACACATAATGATTCCTATTTCCGAGATCGTTCTTTTATACTATTGAAAGAAATTCTAAAACAAATTACATAAAAAACAAGCCAAAATAACTTGTCAGAAACAATCAATAAAAATGACTTTGTATTTTTTAAGAACGTGTCAGCAACAATCATTTAACCAAGTAATTTATTTTATTTTATTTGATTATTTTTCTATTGTAGAAAGATTGTCCAACTGGAAAATTAAATAAAAAGAAATTTATTGAGGTTTATAAACAATTTTATCCAACTGGAAAAGCTGAAAAGTTTTGTGAATATATTTTTCGTGCATTCGATAATGATAGTTCAGGCAGCATAGGTATGTCACAATTTTTTTTTAAATATATCTATTTCATAAGAGTAAAAATCTATAACTAAAATTCTATATAAATATATTGACAAAACAAATATACACGAAATTTATTTTTAATAGTTCAATTAAGAAAACGGAAAAAGAAATGACGTGAAATATAAATTAATAAATAAATGAATATTATTATAATTATTTATTTAGATTTTTGTGAATTTTTAATTGCTATTTCGATAACTGCTCAACAAGAACCAACGAAAAAATTAGAATGGGCATTTTCAATGTATGGTATGTAGTTTTTTTTTGTTTTTTTTGTTGAGAGAAAAAATGAAAAATAATATTTTTTTTTTATTAATTAGATATTGATCGTAATGGTTTTATTGAAAAAAAAGAAATGAGAAAAATTATGGATGTACGAATAAAATTGCTTCTGTTGTTTTTTTTTGCAATGTCTTATTTTTTCTTTCTTTTCAAAAGGCTATTTTTGATCTTCTTGGCGAAGAAAGAAAAGGTACAAATACACCACAGCTAAAAGTTGATCAAATTTTTACGCGAATGGATACAAATGGTGATGGAAAATTATCTAAAGAAGAATTTATTTCTGGTTGTTTACAAGATGATTATTTACGAAGATTACTTGCACCATCAGCTTCATAAATTAACGTAGAGAAATCCATTTAATTTATTTCCTATGATACTCGAATTTATTTTTTTTTTGTGTTTTTTTTTCTTGTTCTCATAAGCGTACTTACACATGAAAAAACCAGACAGTACGCATTTATTCTATAAAAATTCATATTTTTCTTTTCTCTACCAAGGCCATTGACACATGATGTTGCCTGAATTAATTTTTTTTTTGAATAGTCTATCAATTATGAAAGAAAAAAAAAATAAGAAAGTTTTTGTTCAGTAATCCGACAGAATAAAAAAAACAATGATGAAGACTAGCGAGGATAAAAATCATAATCTGGTTTTAATTTTCATTTCGAGTATCCTATTGTTTTATTTAGACAATGAAGAAAAAAAAAGAAACCCTTGGTTTAACTATATTATTCTAAGGTCTTTAGAACTAATATTTTTATTTTATTATGTTTATCTTTACATTAAAATAAAACATCTTCTTCCATCATTATTTCGATACCGGAAAAAAGTTTTTTTTCTAGATAAATTCTATCTAATTGACGGATGTTCATTTAACGAACATATAAATATCTAGAAAAGCTAAACATGTGTCATATGTAACAGTATGTTATTAAAGTAATAATTTATACGGCAGTAAGTTTTTGAGTACAACACAATGTGGAATACATGAAATGTTATATTTATTCATGACGTTAATATGCATTTGTCAAATCTTTCAAAAAAAAACAACCAAGGAAAGTAGTTTCGAGTATTAATTAAAGGGTTGCAAATGATAATTATAATGTGCACATTTATTTGATATATTAAATCAAGCGCATATTTGATGTGATCAATATCTATTGTAATGAAATTTTAATTCTTCAAGGCAAGTCATAAATACATTTGAGATAAGAGATGTCTTATCAAGGAAAGTATATCAATGAACATGTTTGAAGAGAAATCTATGAATAACATTTTAAATCAACATATTCAAAATAAAATGTTATGCATTCGAATTCTGAACTTATCAGGTTTCAAAGCGGCATTAAAAAAAATGTATTAATTTCTTTATATGTATCTCATTTCAAAAAAACGAAAAACAAAACAAAAAAACTTATAATCAATAAAATCACGTGTTTCGTTTTTTTTTAACACAAATTTAAATTTCGTCAAGAATAATCAATCATCATCCATACGAATATTTTCACAGTATAAGAAAAATTCAATGTAAAAAAGAATCTTATTATGTCAATACAAGAAGAAAAGAGGTCTGCTTGTAGTCAATAAATAGTTAAAACAAACGAAAATAACTATATGAGAATATGTATTATATGAAGAAAAATTTTACGAGGAGGAAACAAGAGATCAAGTGTCTCTCTTGACTAGTATAGTATACCAAAAAGAAAGATATTCTTTTATAATCATATACGATTGGATGATGTCAATTACGCAATTTATAACGTCTATACAAAACATATAATTGAAGAGAATTAGTCTTATCAATTATTTGATGATTTTGTTGTTGGCATTAAAAGTTTACGTATATGTCGGTCAGTTTCACAAGCCTTTGCAAATTGATCTTTTCCCAAATATCCTGATGAATCACATTGAACTTTAGAAAATAATTCATGAACTTTCGTATCAATTCTCGATGGATCACTGATGTCAACACCCATTAATTCATAAATTGACTAAAAAATAAAAGAAAAGTTTTCATAACCATCATATAATTATTTGCATTTAGGATAAGTGGTACTTTTTTCTTTTTTTTTTAACTTAAGAGACAGCCTCCACCTTCACACCTTGATGTCTATGTGTCAACTTCACCGATTAGTGTAGTGACTGTATTCAAAGTTAAAAAAAGGACTGAATAAACATTAAAAACAAAAGTCTACCTCGAGAACAGATCTCATTTCATTTTGATCAATAAGGCCATTATGATCAGTGTCATACATAGAAAAAAAAAGTTCAATTTTTCGTACTGGATCTTTGGATGCTGTTAAACTAACAGCAAACAGAAATTCCATAAATTCTAACACAAAAAACATATATTGTATTTATTTGTTTGATGATCTAATAAAATATACCTATATATCCTGAACCATCTTTATCAAATAAGTTAAAGGCGTGTTCACAAAATTTTGTAACTTGACCTTTTTTATAAAATTGTTGATAAATATTAATAAATTTATTTTTTGAAAGTTTGCCATCAGGACAATCACGCTATGACAAAATAAAAAAAAACCAAACATGCCAGTTTTTTTCTTTATAATTAGTTATAAATGCTTACTAGAAAATCCTCATACCATAAGAGTATGTTTTCTCGAGTAAATCCTGTCTTGTTTATTAAATAAGTAATATCATCAGGGTTAAGTCCAATAGTTGGTGTCTTACGTCGTCGGCGATGGGATCTTCTTTTATGAGATTTAATTCCATGATCTTGATCACTAATTCCTTCTGATATACTATCAAGGCTTTCATCTAGATTTGGAGGAATGGATGGTTGATTATCGGCGGGTTCAACATCTTTCTGGATCTCCTTTATATTATTATCATTAATTTCGAAGATATCTTTGGCATTTGTTTCTTGATAATAAGGAGCCCGCCATTGTCGAAAATACTGAGCACCAATAAGATATAGCGATGGTAAAAGTGTAAACATGATGCAGAAAAAGAACGTCGAGAAATGTTATATTCTCTTAATATTCTAGCTGAAATTCATGCCTCGTATTGTGTTGACGTCGTTGCTGTTGCTCATGTATTGTCTAGTTTGGCAATGCAAGGAAAAAAAAAGAAAGCTTTTTATGAGAACAGTTTGCCGTCTGTAAAGTTTTCTCTTTCTTTCTTTCAACAAAAAAAAATGACACTTATATGGTAGTATTTAACTTTGACGTGGTTGTCACAAAGCACATTGTAACTGCATCAAAATACATTAAGAGAAAGAAAGGAAGAAAGATGAAGTACATGTATTTCTTTTTTTTTTCTTCGACAAGAAGGAAGATGTTCGTTTTATGAGTATAGTATGTTTAAAAGGTGCCTCAAGTAATGTGAATAAAAAAAGAAGAAGAACAACTAGACATAAATCAATGTGTTAAAAAGAAAAAAAAAGTATGGCATGCTTTTAGTGGAATATATACTTTTAGATGAAAAAAGTATTATTTGTATTGTTCTCGTTTTCTATTAGTGTGAATCATATGTTTATTCATAATTCTATATAAATCAATTTAAATAAATTTGGATGCAATGAAAAAAACTAAGCTAATAATTGCTTACTGATCTAGAAAAATATAAAGACTCAGATGTCAGAAACCAATCATCGATATCATGTGACAAATTAAAAACATACATATATTGTTATTATGATAAAAAAAAGTGATGTTCTTTTAGGCAGTAGAATTCGACATTTTTTTTCAATAAAAGAAAAAGACTTTGACTTTTCTTAGTAAGTCCACCTTTTACGCCATTAAATTAATCCTATATATGTTTCTTTGTTAGTTTGAACGCAAAAAATAGTCAATAGTTTACCTATCAGCTGTACATCAACGCCATCAGTGTGCATATTTGCACATAACTATACATGGCATCAATTCATCAAGTAATTTTAGATGGACGTCTGTCTCAATTAAATTTACTTATCAATAGAATTGGTTGTAATGTAAACGAAAAAGATTCATACAGTCGAACACCACTTCATTTAGCTGTTCTTTCCGATCAAGAAAACTATGGTTATCGAGTAGCACGTCTTCTTCTTCAAGGTAATGCTGACATAAATGTAACTGATAGTCAACAACGAACACCACTTGTTTACGCATGTTTACTCAATCGTTCAAAACTTGTAACACTCTTTTTACGAACAAAATCTATTGATTGGAATATTATTGATCATGATGGTTATTTAGTTTTACATCATGCAGCATCATCATCACATACATCAATACTTGCAGATATCATTCATGAAATGAAATCAATTGGACTTTCAGTTGATTGTAAAACAGAATTAAATTACACACCTTTAATATTAGCTATAAAATCATTTCGATTTGATAATGCTGTTTATTTACTGGATCATACTGATGCATCACCATTTGTTATTGATGATGAACATCATTTTACATGTCAACAATGGGCACAACATGTGGGACCAAAATTAAATGAAAGAACATATTATTATCCGAGACAAAGTTCAACATTAAAAAGAAATAAAAGTCTAGATAAAAAGTAAGCTTTCTTTAAAAAATAAAACATCTTAATTTACTTTTCTAGTATTCCAAACTATAAATTTTTTCATGGAACTGAATCACCTTATAAATGTAAAATGCTTCTATGCAATCATCATCATATGAAATCGTTAGAAGAAAGTACTTATACACCATCTGTTCTTTCACCACGTGCTCAAGATCGAAAATCATTGACATCAACTACTAGTTTTCATTCTGAAAAAGTTAGTCTCAAACCATCTTACCAAATGTGGATGCAACTTGTACAAAGATTACATGATCGAACATCATCATTAAAACTCGTCACAGATGGAGATAGTCATTCTATGTCAGAAAAACGATTACGACGAGAAAAATCATGGGCTGGTCATGATACAATGTCACCATGGCATAATGATAAACTTAATTCAAATAAACAAGTTCGAACGTTAATTAATCATTATTCAAAAATGTTAACAACTGATAATAATGAACGATTAATATCAAGTTTTAATGATAGACCAAAGAGTATTTTACGTCCAAAAGGAACCACAAATCAATATCGATTTACTAAAGAAGTTACCTTTGCTACTGATTAATGATATTTTGTAATTTTTCTTGAATCAAATAAATAAACAAAAATATGATGAAAACGAATTCATAAGTTATAAGAATTGTGAAATACTTCATGAAAAGTATGTGAAAGAAAAAAAATAATAAGATTTCCTTTGTCTATTAAACCGATGGAAAAGATATAATGTCTAACATTGAGACCTGCAAGAACTATCTTTTTCTCCCAGTCTTACTTCAAATAAATATTTTTCGTTTGAATTTTACAGGCGCTGTTTCATTTGCAAAACTAATCAAGTTTTCATTTTAAATTCTCCGAAAGATTGGATATAGCGTTTGATTATTCTGTAGTAATACATATCGTGAATATATAAATAAAAGAAAAATCTTGTTTTTTGTTAAAAGAATTTAATAGTATTTTGAAGTTTACTTGACAATAGAGATGTGTTTAGATTATTATTCTATATATAAAAAAGAATAAGTTGATTATATCTATTTGGTCAATAGAATTAATAGTTCTATATTATGTATTTTTTTTACTTCTGGGACATAGAAACATTGAATGATTAATGAAATTTTATGAAAGTATCTTTTTCTGTAAAGTATTTATCACACAAGTAGGGAATCGATGTTGGCAGTGTTGAAACACAAGAGTGCATTGTACCACATATGTGTTTTATAATTATGATATAAGAGCATAATGTATGATTGTAATACACTAATAAAATTGAGAGTTCAATGTGTTGCCTAAATACTGTATTTGATGGTATATGAGGCACAATCATTTTTGACACATTTTGGATTGGATTTTTTTGAATAAAATATCAATTAACTTTTTTTAATTTTTTGTTATTTTTTGCTATTCATATTGATATTATCGAAACGGAAATGAAACAGACGAAAAATCTTATCAAGAAAAAACAATAATTAGCATGGACTTGGTTTCAAGAAAATGTATAAAGAATCTTACAATGGCTTCAAATAAAAAAAGAACTCACTCAACCTCTATTTCTAATTAATAGTAAATGAAATGGAAAAGTCAAAAAAAACTGAAATGTATACACTACAAGAATTGTTTTTTTTTTCTCTCAATAAAAGAAAAAATACAGAAAAAATTCTAGCTTTTTATTTATTGTGTTCAATATGACTTTATTTTGTGAACTCTTCTTTAAAGTTTAAATCCATTAGTTTCACTTGCTTATACAGGCAATGAAATAGTCCTGGACGTATCACTAATCGCTGTTTGTTTTTCGGATTACCTATTCAATAACATGTTGACTAAGGTGTAACACATGTCGACTCCTGTAGACACTATTTTGTTCATCAATTTGTACGGAAAGTTCAAACGATTAAGCGTAAGAACTTTGTGTTCGTCCAACCTTCTGCCCAGAGCTACAGCTAGTTTTAGTTGTAGAGAACATATCGAACTAATGTATCTACTGCTAGGCAGCACTCCATGTCGCGAGGTGAAGTCATAGGGAATTTACTCTTGTTGTAAGCTCAGAAAAGAAGATCTGTTCACAAAAAATATATCGAAGATATAAGAGATAGAAATAGTATAAGTGGTACAGTCATTTACTAATATTGCGACATACTACTATATCGGTTGTTTCGCTATATTGCTTACACTACTATACCACTAACATCTTTAGATATTGATTTTGTTACACAAAAAAAAATGTTTTTGAAGTAAACTATTTTGTCGTAAAATCATATTCTCCCTCCTATGTGCAACGCAAGCAAAAGGCACGAATATTCTGTCTTCCCAATAAAGCTTTATTCTTATTATAAATATTTCTCAAAGAGAAAGTACTTTTTTAAAATTAATTTGAACATTTCTGACGCAAGTAAACTCTTATATCAGATATCAAACCTATATAAATGATCTTGAATTGATGTTACTTTAAGAGGCAATGAGAATGTATTGAAATTCAAGATCTGTAGAACTAGGGCTGCTATTTTTATGAGTTTCCTTCGAAACAATTTTTGGAAAATTAACACTAAATTTTTATATTTATTTTTCATTTTCGGCAAGTATCAAATATTTTTTCAAGTATTGATAAAATCAACAATAAAACTAAAGACTTCATCAAAAACTTATAGAAGTCATCGACGAACACCTATTCTTCGAAAAACAACCAAGATCAATAGAAATTGTTTATTGAATTCTTAAATAAAAATACCGATTTCCAAATCCATAATCAGAATAGAATAAAAATCTATAAGCGTAATCCCTAGACAATTAAAATATGAAACACGATAAAACCGGTGACGTTGTCATAGAAAGAATTCATTAACATAGGTTTTGGTTTATCAAGTCATACTTATTGTTAATGCATGTCGATGATGAAAGATGACAATCATTATATATTACATTCAATGTGATAGAACTGCAAACGATACCTATCTTCAGTTCATTTGTGTTTCATATTAATTTTAAAATAGATTTCGGTCTCATAAGTGCATCTGTCATAAAGCATGAGTAGAAAACAGCAATACAAAGATATTTATTATAGTCTGTGGGAAAATAAAAGCGTTCCTAAGGTGTCTGTCACGCCTAGGACGTTTCAACTTCTATCACTATACATCAACAATCTTTCTAGATCATGTTTCACAATAGTATAAACAAGTATAGTCAAAATTTGAATAAAGAGTTTTATCAGAACTTTTTTGCAGATTCCTAGAATATCTGTTATGTAATCGAAATAATGACTTTGAGATATTTGATGGATATAGTCTTATTGGAATTGGATAATTAAAGGTTTTTTTTTTCTTTTGAGAATGATTTTTATAATTGAATGTTTTTGTATTATATAGAATAAGAAGACAATAATCAATGGATTATTTTGATAATGATTGACGATTTTTTTGTATTATTAACAAATTTGATTATAATATGTACATTTGACTAAAAGCTTTTCATAAACACAAGAAAGGTGTTATGATGACCATAATGATGTGAAGCGACAAAAACATTTATAACTTTCAGAACATATTATTCTCAAATATCAATCAATCAATGATTCCTATCGTGTAAAATAAAAGATACTCAATTGAAAACTTAAATTCATAAAAGATTGAACAAAACCTTAGGATATGAATCGAAAAGATCACGATGCTTTTCAATTCCAATCAAATACATAAAAGTCTTATTCAAGCATCACTCAACAAAGGCAATCATCCTCATTCTAAAGATAGTTGTGCATTATCATCTATCATTAAATTACAATTATTCAGCATTACGTACTTCTATAGTATGTCTATCAATAATATTTACTTGAAATCTTATCTCATTTTGAATTGTTTATCGTTAAAAAAGAATATACGAGATAAAATCATAATATAAATAATACAGAAGATTTCGAATGCATTTGACGTCATATAAAAATTTTTAAAGATATTTCTGATTTTAAAGCTTTAAAATGCAAAATTGAAGTTTCTAATAAGTTTCGAATATGTTCTTTCGATTCAATTGAGATTCGCAAAATAACATAAATATTATTATCTTAATTTTTTTCAAATTTACCACCAAATTATACATCAATCTAAATATATTATATAAATTTTATATTCCATCTAAAGAATTTTTATCGACCAATGACTTTCTCTTATTATTCATGATATTTAACTTGCTGTTTTGTCGTCTGTGTAATTATTTGATCTATTTGCTTCATTTATTATTAACCAACATTTCTTATGCATCAAATCATATGCATATAATTCATTAATTTGAAATATGCCAAGTAAAAAAAAACAGACGGGTATAAAAATTTAGTTAACATTTATTCTCTGTGCCTTAAATTAATAATTAAAAGTAGATGAAAATGATCTGTTTTATGAAGTATACAAACAAAAATATATTCCTCATATTACATCAGGGAAAAGTATTTATAAATTATTGTCTTGTCATAACTATGAAAACCATCAACACTAATATCAAATAAATTGATATAGTAAGTCTTCTTGTATTTCCATTAAAATTCTTTTAAGTTATTTTCATTAGACATTTATTATCCAAAACATAAGATTAGACATATATCATCTTGTCAAAACAACTTCTCATTGTTTGTAGTGAATGACATTAATGACAAATTCATCGTTCAACAACATAATCTTATCAGTAGATACAAAGATACTATCAAATTCTTGAATATAGTAGAATGATTTCCATTGGGAAAGAAAACAAGGTCAGTCGTCGACTTCAATGATGAGCAGAACGTGCTTTTCATCGCATAAAAAAACCTACTTGGATTTCTTCTCTTTTTTTTTGAGTCAATAACACTTCTTAGACTATTCTTCATGTCGAGGTGCTTAACATTAATGCATCTAGTTGATTTCCGCTACGACAGAATGTTCAGAGTTGTAATGTTTCTGTTCTGTGATGCAAATCGACTTCCGTCTAGCGTGTCTTGATGGTTAAATATAACTCAATTTATTCGCACGCATATGCAATTTTTGTATTGTGCAGTTTTTGACCTTCAAATGACCAATGATTCTTTACTATCGTATGAACGATTGACATATAAGTGTATGTACACAATTTCAACAATCATCATTGTTCTTGATAGATTCAGATACAGTCTACGCGTCTTCTTCACTCATGTCTCTCTTAATGCCATTGAACTATCAACTTGATGTCGGATGTGTCTATCATTTTAACATTCAATTTCTTCTTTTTTTTTCTGCCATTGTACATATGACCTTTTTTTTTCAACTACACATACTTTATACATCCATAAAACAGAACTCAATTAATTGATAAGCGAATCCGGAAATCATCATTTCGTGAAGCAGTAACATTGACATGTAATAAAGGATGAGTGTAGTGTCAACGAACACGTTACGAGACCAAACACACTCATTATAGTTTCATCATGCAGACACACACACTTTTCTTCTTTGTATTATCTTTGCTTTAGTATATATATATATGGTACCACTTGGGATCACGCGAACGAGAAAAAAAACACTCTAATGACTGCAATTAGACATACTTGTTCGTATATACACATGTGTATGATGCTCATTTGCCGCACAGTAAAAAGAATAAATGCAGAAATATTTATATTACATATAGGTGAGAAGAAAAGACAAAGACGAAAAATTTCTTTCGATTGATTGATTTTATCACATTGATTATCATTTGAAATGTCATCAGGATATTTGAAATACATATTGTATAAGAAAGAAAAGATAGGCTCGTCTTGATCTGAATGATAAAGACAAGTGAACGGTCATTATATTGTCATTCAATGTTTTATGCAATCTCATCAATAAAAAAAACAGTTACTTGTCAAACTCATAAGATTCTCAATAGTATTCGTTATATTATGAACCAGTTTTCAATCATATAAATTTATATATGTTAAAAGAAATTTGATAGATAACGAGAGGTAAACGTTAAATTAATGGATTGTCATTAATAACGTTTATTATGACCGTGAATTGCGTTAGCTTTCATTGTACTGTATTTTCTAATACAACTATAGAGAGATTTTCTTTCTCTTCTCTCTCTCTTTTTCATCTTTTTGTTGTTCTTATTCTTTGGAGAAGTTTTTTTTTCTGTTCTCTTGATCTTTCTTGTTTCTCTCGATCGTCTCTAATTAGTGATGAAGAGATGATTTGACTTTCGGTCTGAGTCGTAACAGCCTACAGCTTTTCTTCTTTCCATTTTTCTCTTTTTTTTTCTTATTCCATAAAGTTTATTTGTCTTATTAGACCCTAGACACAAGGAGAAAGAGAAAGAGAGAGAGAGAGACGGAGCACGTAAGAAGGACAATCAATATATTGGTAGACGACCACTATCATGTTCTTCTAAATGGCCTTTTATTTGTTTTTTTAATAGCATAAGGATTGTTCATATTTATTTCATTCTCTTGCTTTGTTTTAGCTTGTTCATTCTGATCCCGCACGCTTTTTCTCTAATACAGATTGTGGTCTAGTGTTTGCCATATTATATGATGTTATTTGCCAATATAATACTCGATTAAGAATGATAATAATCATTAGTTTCCTAGTTATTCTTGCCGTTTATCAACAAGGTAAGATTAACAAGTGTTCATTTTTATTTTATGACCAAATATATATTACATTAACATGTTCATATATGGTTAGATACTATCAGAGAATAGCTTTCATTTCAATATAGATCTAAAAATATAAGCTAAAATGTTGTTCGTACAGATTTTATGCCATGTCTGAACACATCATCATTTTCTTTTTCTTCTTTTACATATGTGACATCTCTGATGACCTAACTCTAGTCATTTATATATATTAAAAACTTAAATTCCCCATAGATTAAATGATAAGTAGAAGACAGCTGCCTAATAGAGAAAAGAGCATAAGCTGTATTAAATATAAAATCTGGGAAAAGAAATTTATTTTAGCTGTTAGTACAATTCAACATCCAATTGGACCAAGTTTTATTTCGACAATAACAACAAAACAAAAACTTTATTATAATAATATAGGTATAAGACTTGATTGTTCAGCTATAGGTAATCCATTACCTGTATTAACATGGTTTCGAATAAATGGTAATGATGATCAATCATGGATTCATGTTCAATCATCAGAATTCATGTACGATTTTTTTTTATCGATGCTTTTTTTAGAGATTACCTATTTAATTATAAATGTTATCATTGTTTTAGAAATTTATATGATAATGGAAGTTTATTTATTCGACCATTTCGAGAATATTTTAAAACAATTCATGCTGGTATATTCATTTGTCGAGCAGAAAATCCAGCTGGTAGTATACAAACAATACCAATTCAAGTTAAACCACGTAAGAATAAAAATAAAATCATATGAAAATATGTTCATCGTATTTTGTTTTGTTGTAATTTGATGTTCGTATGTTCAATACAATTATATATGTCTGATCCTAAAAGCAACCACTCAAACATTCTTAGTAAACTTAGACTGACATATGCTGCTAATAAATTGTTCTAGAGTAGATTATCTTTTTATTTTTTCATCACTCACTGAAAATCAAGCTGAACATAAGTATGTCTACAAAAATCAGTTTTTTCTTGACAAGTGTTAATGAATGACTGCATATGTTTATGTGATTATCACTTAAGAAAATTTTCATAATGTATGTTTTATTAATTAAATGAGAGAGTCTCTGTGGATTTGTATTATTTTATATAAACACTGCAGCTGTGTTATACATTTAATAGATAAAGAAAAAAAAAAGAAATTGACGATTAATATGTGTTCATTGCAAGGTCATTGTGACACATTAATCTAACGAGAAAACCTTCCTAAGCGATTAATCGTTTCTTTAGTGTTGGCCTTGTACACAAGATAGACACGAATAAGGTATGAAAAACCATGAAAGGATCAGCACTCTTATGCCTTCACGTCAGCGTTATAGGTAGGCATGAGTGGAGCCAGTCGTTTTCGGTTTCATCTGGACTAGGTCCATCTTGTACATATGAAATTATAGCCACTATATTGAAATTTCAGTCTATGGAACAGTGTATATGAACAAATCGAATGATGGTGTAACGATCAGAAATTTCGACTATAGATAGGTCTACTTGTAACTAGAATTTTTGAAAGATTTCAGCAAGAGAGAATGTATTCATCATCGGATATTGAACTTTCGAAAATCATGCATATTCCAAGAAAGATACGATGATCTCATGATTTTTTAGGAGTTCATTATTTTCTGATGGATATATTATTTTGTACTGAAATTTTCAAGACATTGTATCCAACAAAACGCCTATCCATGGTCAAAATTTCAGATCAATTTACTTTCATTCGATTTCGTTAGTAGAAACCATCCCTTACGAGAGAAGTTCTGCAACTGATCCATTGCTGTTGAGTCGAAACTATGTGCATTGTGCAGATCCAAATTATTTGGATCTGCATAATGCACCTAGTCCCCAATCAATAGCGATTAATTAATTATGGGATTTCCTTCGTTAAACTAAAACTTCAGGAAGAATAGTCATAATGCTGGCATAAAAGCATAAAGGTATTTATTCTTTTGAAAGGTTTCATACCTCACTTGGGGCTATCTTATGCGCGGGTCGATATGGCTAAGTAGTTACATTGTGGCATGCACATATCCTCATAGCTATTATGTGGTTAGTTAGTATGTATGGGGAGCTCAAGAGATTGAACACAAGAATTCTGTGTTAGTCCAACCTTCTATGCAGAGCTACATCTTTTACTAGTAGTAGAGAATTTATCGGGCTAAGGAATCTGCCACTAGACAACACTTTAAACTGTAATGTAGCTGAACAAGTGGGGTATTCTTCTCCATCTTATGCACGTAGTCCGAACTTGAGAATGATTAATCATCTAGAATGGTTCGCCACTAAGTTGATTATAATCAAATTGAAAATATATTCATATGAATGTGTAATTGTATTTTAATGTATCTTATTGAATAATTTGGATGATTTTTGTTTCTATTTTTAGAAATCTATGATACATATGAAATAGAAGTAAGAAATCCCTATGGATTTGAACAATCATCTGTTATAATATCATGTGAAATCTCTCCGCCATCAGCTAGTTCTTATGTAAATATCATAGGTTGGTTAGAAAAAACAAATAATCAAATTATCGAACTTGATTTACGTAAGTGTATTAGTTTAAACAAAGAAACCGAAGATTTCATGTATGACAATATAATTCATATAGAGCCAAAAACCAAATATAATTTATTAGCAAATAAAAATTTAATTATTCATAATTTAACAAAATCCGACGATAATCGAAGTTATGCTTGTATTGTTAATAATCAAATCGATAATCATACAAGACAAAGTCGATTCAAATTATTACGTGTTCGAAGTAAAATGAAAAAAAAAAATTTTTTTTTCAATTATTTTTTAAATAAATAAAATAAACATATAGATCGTTCACCATTTGGACCTGAATTATCTATAATAAATAATACTGAATATCGAGCTCAAGTTGGTAATATTATTGAATTACCTTGTGGTATAGCATCATTATCAAACAACGCTAAAATTTCATGGTGGAAAGATGGAATTGAATTAAATAATATTGAAGAAAAACTTTATAATAATTCTTTAATTGTTCAACTTTCATCTTCAACTGATTCAGGAAATTATGTTTGTCAAATTGATGATGAAATAATTGGACGAATGACATCATACATTTCATTAAAAGTTAATCGTAAGTTTTAGTTAGCTCTTATAATCATTTAAGAAAACCTATTATTTTATTTTTTAGTTCCAATTCAATGTAATATGAATATTCAACAAACAAATATTAATGCAGGATCAAATACAGAATTAATTTGTAGTATTAATACAATAGAAAATCCATCTATTCAATGGCAATGGTATCATAACTCTATTTCATTATCTACAAAACTAAATCAATATATGATTATTAATGCAACAAGAGATGATATGGGAATGTATCAATGTTGTTATATATCAAGTTCGACAGATTTAAATAGTTGTTGTGCACAAACTCAAATTCGAATCATTAGTGAGTCATGAAAAATTGTAATTTTAATTATTCGATCTACATAAAAAGATGCCTAAGCTCAACAGTTTTGAGCTAGAAATCTTAGTCTTTCAAGGGTCTGTCGGACAAATTAGCAAACTTGGACATAATAGACAACTCGCTCTCTTCTGTAGTGGCGGAGTGCACACAGGGTGCATTCAGGCTAATAATAGCTAAAGAAATACAAGTGACTCTTTCATCGATTCAAATAGCTATAAATATTCTTTGAGAAATGCTCTATCTAATGACATAAAACAATTTTGGTACGAGTTTTAAGTAGAGTGCAACAATCGGCATTCAAAAATTAGCCTACAAATTCTAGTAGCGATGAGAAAAAAAAATTTTTGACAAAATAAAACCATCTGATAGATACACTTAGTAGATATTCTGAAACAGCATATCGTCTGGTATTGATCATCAAAGAAATCTTTTAATATGAATGTATACATCTTGATACAAAAAATAAAAGCTTTTTTTCCAAAGTAATTTTCGAAATGATTATGCTCATGAGGAATTTTTATAAAAAGTTTTCTTCAATTTTTATATCCTGGTTTTCTAGAAAACTGGTTCTCAAGGCTAATCAAATTTCCGCCAAAAAAATATTTTATTATGTTCAGAAAAAGAGGATGTTGAATTGTCTAGAAAACAGTAAATTTTTCCGTTTCAAATCGTTATCTTTTATAGAATATACACCCATTCCAATGCATAAAACAGATACATATTAATGTTTCACTCTGAAAATCTTCAAGATGATATTATTTTACTTCAAACTCATACTTGGAAAATATGAAAGATTATTGACTTAGGAGCAACTTTATATGTTCTATAATCCGAGTAGATCATAAACATTCAAACTAAATTGAACGATATATGGCAGAAAACATTTTCTCGAAACAATGTGAACTAGATTTTCTTTAGTTGTATTTTTTGTGCCGAAAACTTTTTGATTTTCTTCACCGTAATTTTTTGAGCTAAAGAAAATCGCTTACGAGAACAAAATTTACTACATTTTCATCAAGACTTGTGCAGATATTAAACATTACATTCAGGATTGTTTTGTATCATTTCTATAAAACTTCATAATAAGTAGTCCATAGACAAATGTTTTGCTTTTCATTCATGTAAACAAAAATAAATATTCATCTAGAATAATTATTATTTATCTAAACATTTAGATTCACCTCCTTTTATCCATACTAATTCACAAAAACATTTAAATAGTATTGTTATATTACCAGAAAACAATTCTCATAGTTCAATTGATCTAAGTCTTACTATTTATGGTGATCCAATACCCGAAATAAATATATTTAAAGATGGTGAAAAATTATTAGGAAATTATTCAATTAAATATCTGCCATCTGGTGATATCTTTTTTCATTATGCAATTAATATATCAAATATTAATGATACAGGTCTTTATGAATGTCAGGCAAAAAATTTTTTTGGATCGATTTCATCATCAAAACATATTAATATAAAAAAACAAAAACCATTTATTCAGCCATTATCAAATTTAACATTTCGAACTGGTGAACAATTTACTCTTACTTGTTATGCTTCAGGTCATCCAAATTTACATTTACAATGGATTGATCAAACAAATAATGAAATAGTTAATACATCATCAACATCTCCACTGCTATTCACATCAATTAATACAAGATCAAATATCTATAGCTGTCAAGCAATAAATCCATATGGTAAAGTTTCTTCTCAATTATTTCTAACAATTCAAATTCCTGCGAAAATTCTATCAGTAACATCAAATCAAACAGTAAAAATAAATTCAAAATTAAAGATTCATTGTATAACTGAAGGTGATAATCAAATTGAATTAAGATTAAAATATCCTCAACTAAATAAATTAAATCTAATTGAAAATAAATCTGAAAATACAAGAAAATTATCAATTATTATTGATAATATACAAATGTCTGATAGTGGTTTATATGAATGTTATGTTAAAAATAATTATTCAGAAGATCATTCTATATTTGAAATTATTGTACAAAATATACCAGATAAAATAGAAAATATTTTTATTGAAAATTCTCAAAAAATTTTTTGGATGAAACCATTTGATGGAAATTCAAAAATTTTAAAATATATTCTTAGAATTCAATCTAAACAAGGTAATAGAAGATTTTTATCTAACTCTTTTTATTTATTTATATTTTTGAATTAAATTAAGGTTTATCATGGTCAAATGAAACGATTATTATTATTGATAATAGTGATATAACAAATTATTCATTTGAAAATATTTTTTCGCAATGTATGATTTCAGTTATAATACAAGCAGTAAATATAATTGGTTCATCATTACCTAGTGAACGTATTTATTTTCAAACAAATGTTCAACGTAAATAATTATTTTAGTCTTAGTCACTGTTTATAGTTTATAGTTTTTTTTTTGTAGAATTACGAGTTGTTCCGTATAATCTTACTGCAGTTGATATATCTTCTAAAAGTTTAATATTGACATGGCAAGTATGTAAAGATGATTTATTTCCTTTTTAACAATTGCTCTGAGATTTCTGAAAGATAGACTTTTTTCGAGTCACATTTATCCCGTCGTCATAGATCGGAAGAAACATTAGCAAATATTCTTTCGAATTTTTGTATTGTAGAAAGAAGCAAATAAATATAATATAGAGATGTATGCTGTATAACTGTAATACTCACACAAAAATACAAATCCATAATTCATAAACTCACAAGCATATAGTAACAGCTCATTGTATCAATTTTTCTCTATCGTCAATAAATAAAACAAGTGTATCATTAATAACGAGCATGAAAAATGATTAATCAAGAGAACGAAAGCAAAGCGAGACAGATACACGAAAATGATGATACATGTATAACGACACGCTGAGCCTTAATGGCAGGAAGCAGAGTGTTACATGTAATCTTCATATACTTTTTTGGTTTTTATACGGAGAGAAGTGCCATTAAACTCTTTGAAAAAGTCATATTGAATATTTCATAACAAAATATGAAAATAAGAAGGTTCATGAAAAATATTAAGAAATTCCAAATCTGACGATTTTCTAACAAAAAATACGAATTTTTGCTATTTTTATTTTTTTATATGTTATGAACATTGAACTATCCGTTTTGTCGCTATTGAAAATTTCTACCTTTTGCTTTTATTTAAAAACCAACCGTTAGTTGAAAGGGAATACTTGTTTTTCTACGCTTTTTCATTCAGATCATCAATATCTTATTCAATTAGAAGATGTTCAATTGCTTATTTTTCATGCAATAGGTCGTATGAAACGAAAAACATTTTCTATGACAATCAGTCCATTTCAAGAAAGTCATCCTTTCTATTGTAATAACACTAAGTTCTGATGAATTTTATGATACCCTAACAGAGTGTTTATTTCTATACATATCCAATTACTTTTTTAAGCACCTAGAAACAGTTTCAGCAGGCTAAAAAGTAATTTAGAAAGTGGACAGTTTTGAAGCTTCTTATTTTGATAGGACAACAGAAAGAATTATTGAGATTATGCATACAGTTGGTCTCGACGTTATTCGATCGGATTTATTTTCAATTTTTTTTCACTTCTATGAATGCTAAGAAGAAACAAATTGATGATTTGAATAAATGATTCCATTTTCGACAAGAACCTTTTAAAGGTAAAAATAATTTCTATTCCTTGAAAGAAACGGTTTCTGACAAATTAAAAACTAAGTTTGTCAGGTTCTAGAATTTGCAACCACGATTCTGTTTGAGCTATTTAGAATAATAGAGTAAAGGATTCTCTATGACAATTTTTTTAAAGAAGATACATTAACTTTATAGAAAAGTACAAAAATTGAAAATAAGCCTGATTAAGTAATGTTGGGAGCCACTGTATAAATTTATATGAAAAATTGCTTATATCGTCTGAACTACTTTATACATATTTAAATAGAGTATTCGATCAAGTGATTATTTAAATTAGCTCAATATTCATAATGAAAAAAGGTTCTTTTTTATTTTGAACTTTTAGTATCCATCATTTCAAATATGTAACAAATCATTCATTGAATTTGTTATTGAAATAATTGATCAATACAATCAAACAATTATTAAAACTCATAATTATCATTCAACAATATTAACTATTAGTCAATTAAAAAGCTATACTTATTATACATTTGTCATTTATGCAAGAAATGAATTAGGATCGAGTCCAAAATCAAAACCATTAAAAATAAAAACATTGGAGAGTGGTAAATTAAAGTGTTTTCATGAAAAATAAAGATAATGTGCTTTGTGTTGTTTTTATTTTAGCCCCTCTTGCTATGATAGGAGATTTAACAGGAACTTTATTAAATAGTTCAACTGCTTATATAACATGGACTTTTGAACAACATGGTTTTCAACTTCTTAATGGAAAATTTCGAACATTTGTTGTAACCATGTATGAAAATTTTGGTAAGAAAATTAAAGAACAAATTTTAATAGGAAATGAATTTTATTCTTTAGATATGTCAACATTAACAGCAATTGAAACAATCAAAACAAATCTTATACTTTATGATCTGCATTCATCATCACAGTACTTCGTATCAGTATCAATTTGTAATTATTTTGATTGCAGTTCATCATCGATAGCAATTGGTATTAGAACACCATCGTCGAGTATGTAATACGATGATATTATTCTTTATTTTTGAGAAGAGACAGTTCGTCTAATCTATTCTTGAAGTCTAGTTTAGATATGTATAAATTTAACTGATTGGACTGAGCTATGTACCTTCATATAAGAGTAATTGTTGTAGACAATGGAGTTTATTGACAAAAACAGTTGAAAATCATTTATTTTTCTCAACGAAAGTACATTCAATCGATCCGAAACTTTCTTCTACTTATACCTAGAAAGTGTTTATGTTACCTACGTGTTTTTATATTAAAATAAGATAAAATCTTTTTGTTCGCATAAAAGAAGATAAAATGAAACTAAAAGGATCAATATCCCTATCGGTATCTCGTTTCGGTAGACAAAATTATTTCAACTGTATCAGACCTATTGCAGCTCCGAAAACGAGACGATTAAGGGAGAAGTGACTTTTAGCCTTTTCAAGCCCACTATCTCCTTGAAGAAAGGATTTGAAAGATTTGAGTCTATGAAAAATTTTGTTCTACTCATCGAGATACATCTACCCTAAAAGTTCACAAATATTCTCATGAGCTGTACTCCCAAATGTCGACGAAGGTAGAATCTACGGAATTCTGTGTTTTATTCAAGATTCGATCCATCAACTAGCATCAATCTATGAACGAAAGTTCGTAGCCTATTGAGAGTTGTGGCATGAATCCTTTTAAACTTTCCCTAGTCTTCATACGATCTATCGCATGAGATAAGATTCATTTCAAAAGCAATTTATCATTGAGTGAAGTTTCTTCATCAGATACCAGATAAGATCATCTGATTTTTTTTTTGTTTTGATAATTATTTTCTATTGAAGTTCTTGAAACATCGACAACAATTATACATCCAATAAACAAACCACTCGTACTTAATTGTCCATACGCAACTAATAATTCTCTTAATATTTCCTATCCAAAACTATCCGAAACATACAGTCAATATCAATGTGGATCGAAATTATTTAATATTAGATACTATGGTATATTCGATTGGTTTTTTTCTTGCGTAAATTTAACAATCTATACGAATTATTCTAGATAAACCATCATCAATTCGAGCAAAAATTCATTATACAATGTCAAATGAAATTGGTTTAAAAATTTTTTATCCATTTGAAATAATTGAAACTATAACAATAACCTATAAAATAAAAGATAATTCATTTATCCATGAATTAAATATATCTCCACCATTATCAAATATTCGTTTAACAAATCTTTCTTGTGGAAATATTTATGAAATCATGATTTATACTAGTAACCAAGCTGGATTTAGTTCAACGGAATATTTAATAACAAAAACAGACGGTTCAAGTAAAGTTTTAATTAAAAAAGAAATATTTTTTTGTGGGACTCACATCATGTTTTTCGAAGAAAAATATAATGAGTGGAAGTTTTAAGTCAAGGTTTTGCGGCTTCGCCCTTTATAGCAACGATAGAAAAAGAAGATACACAATCATTAGGTACGTTTTCCAGAAATGGCAGTCACGGTTAGAGATATGTGGGCAACGGATTATCTTATAAATTATATCGATCGAAGTATCATTCAAGAGTATGGGTGGCATATTAAAATTAGGATTCACATTCATTGATACTAATGCTAATTTGACACCTCTACTTGAAAGCGATGACCCATGAACTGCTAGTCATCGATTAAATAAATACAAATAAAGTGAATGATGAACTATTGGGATTGATTTCAGCCACCAGAGTTATCTTTTGATAGCATATAATACATTTTAACTGTATCAAGAGAGTCTGCCTTCAAATTAGTTTCTTTTGTTTGATGGTAACATATATAGCGGGGTTTATAGAAAAATTCCAATAATGCCTGAAGAAATAAGTCACTAAAGCTGCTGTAAATGAAAACAAAACTGTGTTCAAACTTCAGAGAAGAATAATGCAGATTGTTTCCTTAGTGATTGGTTATCCTTGAAAAACAACTATAGTCTGCGACAGATTTTTCACTTGATGTATTTGGTATTAGTATAATGAGACTAAAAGACCCATGTGAGTTTCATTTATTAGTCCCTGAGAGATTGCTCTACCAAATTTTCTTATATGAATTATCTAAAATGTTTTAGTTCCTTCATTAATTCAATCAAAAGATTTACTTCGAACGGTTTCGAATAATTATGTTATTGTTAATATGGCTACTTGGATGATTAATGAATGTCTCATATTATCATACGATATTGAAATATTTCCAATCAAAAATTCAGATGAAAATAATCTTAATCGATATTTGTCATTTAAAAATCAAATAAATGAAATAAAAATTGATCATCTTAAATCAGATCATGATTATCAATTAAATATTAAAATTCATAGTCAAGCTGGTGAAAAACTTGAAATAATTCCTTTTCGAACAACAAAGAATAATAATCAAATAAAACTAAAGCATAAACAAATTTTTCTTTTTCTTCTACTTACAATTATTTCTTTTGTATTAATATTTATTTTAATTTTTATTATGATGAAATTTTGTCAACATCGTTTAAAAAGAACTGGTTTGTATTGAAAAGAAAAATTTTTCCAATGATTCATTTTATATCTTTAAAATTTTAGAATTATTCAATGGTCAAACTAAAACATCAAAACCTATGTTTTGTTCATCATATTCAAATAAACATCATCGATATTATCATAAAAAATGGTTACAAACAGAAAATGACTTTACAATTGAAAATTATACAAATAAAAATCGATCAACTAGTTTGACATCCGGTATTTGAATTTTATATTGTTTTTTTTTCCAAATTTTTCTTCATAATATTTTTATAGAAGATTCTCAAGGCAATATAAATCCATATGCAGTTACGGGTGATACGATGAATTATAAAGATAAACGTGATCATGGATACGCTTGGAGAGAAACTGAACATAATAATTGTCAGTTAGATTCTGCAGGTATGGTATTTTTTTATTGTAAAATTTAGATTTGACTATTTCCTAAACGTTTTTCAGCACCAGAATCCTTCAACCTGTCTCAGATCAGTAGGCGAGTGCATATTGAATTTTATAAAGTATTAGTTACATTTTTACTTAATACAACCTATCGCTCTCTATGTATTTTTCACGTTTGAGGTAAAAATAAAATCAGTTCGAAATGAATAATGTTAGTAAAGTTCAACAAAATATAATGAGACTTGAAAAGAATCATATTATTAGAGATAAATGACCAACACAAGAATGAAATGTCTATCCATTTATTGATTAACTTCAGGACATAAGTAACTAGAGGCTTTCAATTATCACTATTCGAGAGAGCAAAATGAAAGAATGTGTACCTGCGTCTTCAAATATAGCTGAAAGTTAGAGTAAAACGTTCCTATTCTTGATATTTAGCTTCGGAAGACGGCTGATGATGCCGCTTTATCATTTAGACTCGACAATCACAAGATAATAATGTCAAATTACTCTGTTTGAAAGAGAAGGCTTTTTCATCATATAAAGAAGATGACAAGTTTTGATATTCTAAAACTGATTTCAGTCGTTTTGGACAACTTTATTATAAAATGACAAATATATTTTGTTATGTATTTTTGATTGATTCAAAATACAACATAACACATCATAAATCCCTTTCATGATATATATATGATTCAAAAAAATGGAGTTACTTATAAAAGATGTGAACACTCGTGGACACCACCAAAGCCGCAAAAAAAAGATAAAGATCGAAAATAGTATCATGTGCATATCCATACAGAGATGCACTTTTTATTTTCAACTAGAATATATCCTATTTTGTGGACACGAATACTCATGATTACATTAATTTTTAATGATGCAAGATGTTTTACAAATCAACATCAAAGTAACTATCATTATCTTTTACAATTAAACCAAGTATAACCATGGATGTCCATGTTAATAAAAATACAAAAAAAATTGACTTTTATTCAATATTAAATATATTTTCAGTAGATGTAATCGAAATAATGATACTGTCGTTCATATGAAAAGTCTACGAAAGATTGCTACTAATATCATAGAGTTAAAACTCGTTATATTTTGTACATTACTTAGTCATAAATTTTATTTTCATATAGATATCCACCCATCAATTACGTCTTGTGAACGATATTTTCGTCCAATTAATCTTGAATCTTCATTATCAAATGATCAGAATTCATTAAAACGAAATCCTCTGACAAACTATTCTGAAAAATATTTATTACCAAATATTGTTTCAACAGTTTCATCATCTGAAAATAAACTTTTTTCTGCGTTTACGTATATTTCAACATCAAATCCAATAACAAAAAAAATTTCCAATCATGATCAAAGTTTATCATCTGCAGATTCCGGTGTTCATTCATCTTATACTCAAAGTCCTCGATGTCCATTACATAATTTTTCATTTGATCATTCATTATTAACAAATCAAGATAATCCATTATATGCAACATATGATGAAAAATTTTTTCAAGAGACTAATTCTGATTCATATAAACATCAACAATATTCATTAGTTTAAATTTTATAGTCAATTTTAAACAGTGCAATATATTGTATTTTTCAAAAAATTACAAATAATAAAAATTATAAAAAACATATTTGAATAATAAGATATTGAACTGTTCGAAGACATTGTCGTCGTTGTTATACTTGTCGATGGTTTAGATCGAATATGAGTTGATTTTACTATCAAAAAAACAAGAAATGAATTAAGAATATGGCACCTTTACAATGGTTTATATTTTTTCTCTATTAATATTTCTTGTGTTTAACTATCTTTGAAGATGTAAGTGATGCGACGATATAAGATAACAGAAACAGACATTAGATTTAGTAAAAAAAAAAATATTAATTTTAGAACAAGCTAACTTCCATGTAAAACACCTACAAAAAAACGGCTAGTATTTCTAGATCTTGATGATCAAAAATTGATTTTTATTGAAAATAAGCATGATATTCGAAATTAGCGTGCAAAAAAAACACTGGAAACTCTATTGTTCATTGAAAAAAGACTTCGAATGAAACTTTATCTGTAGTCGAATGCAGTCTGAAATTTTACGAACAAAAAGTTGAGAGATAGTAGAACAAAAATTTTAATTACAGATATTTTACCATGAAATGTAGAGTTTCCTAACAATTTTGGCTTTCTGATTCCGAAAATTATTTTTGTTTTCAATAAAATAACTTACACAATCAATTAATCTCATGTAGAGTTTTGTTCATGCAAAGTTTAAAGTCGCAACTCGACAGTCAATTTTTCTGGTGATCTGGGAGAAACTAAACTATTCTAGACTTTTCTATTACTCTCTAGCACTCATCAAATGATCATCGTCTCAGTTGAAAAACAATTTGGCATCCAGAGAAATCCTCTTATGGGCGCTGTCTTTAATAATTGGTGGCTCTCGTTAATGAATTAATTGCTGAAGATGATTTTATTTTTATTTTCTAGAGCATCTTTAGTTGTATATACAGTAAAGATTTGTTCATTATTCATCTAACTATAGATTAGATATAAGTCGTAACTGTTTTCATAAAATATTGATTTTTTTTCACTAAGACCAAAAATGCTCAAGTTTCAGTCTAATGATCGCATCTCCTTACGATATTCACAACAAAAAGAAAATAGTTAGCGGAAGAGAGGAGATATAAGCATCAATCTGTTTTCAAAAAAAAAAGCTTTATTTTTTATTTACCAATTTTTTGTTTTCTTGATGAAGTTATGGTTAATATCCGTACTGTAGTTGATTTATAATTGGAATTAGAATCAATATGAATAAAATCTAAATAACAAAACAGATAGAATATAAAATTCATATAAAATGTATTTTTTTTTATACTTGAAATATCAATTAATTTTTCAACTGTTCCAATCGAATTATTACTTCGACAATAATATAATACATTTGCATATTCATTTGAAAATACTGAAAATGATAATATTGATGATTGATTTGTAGTCTTTATAGAAAATAAGTGATGATCGAAAATTTCCTGTCGATTATCATCAAGCCACATAATCGATGGTATTGGATTAGCATCTGATAAACATTCAAGAAAAACATCCATACTTCTAGAACCTATCAATGTTCGAATATTAGTTGTTATTTTTGGTGGATCTAGAAAAAATTTACATTTAATGAACGAATTAAAATAATTATTTAACTTACAATATACATCAATATGAAATACTTTTGATATTCGAGTCGATTTTTCATTATCAGCAATACATTCAAGTACTTTTGGATCATATCTTGTATAATTACCCAAATGAAGTTCACATATTGTTGCTTGACAAATAGTCCCATTACTTACTGTGAAAATTGAATTAACTTTTTAAGTTTTTTTTTCCATTTTTCTACTTACATGAAACAAGTTTACCAGTATTTGTTCTATAAAACCAAGTTATTGATGGTACTGGTCGACCAAATGCTGAACAAGAAAGACGAAGTGTTGAACCTTCAATAACAGTTCGTTGTTGAATGAAATTAGTATCATCAACAAATTGAGTTGGGACTATAATATAAATAAGAAGACTTATTCAGATGAACTGATGTTTTTTTTTTTCATTCTTTACCGATAATAAAAAGGTCATATTCAGCAAAAACAGTTCGACCTCTTGAACAAATGTATCTTCCTTCATCATCAATAGTTGGTCGTAAAATAAGTAATGTTAAAAAATATGTATCAATAAGCGTTCCATTTGTATTCATACTTGAACTAAGACGACGTTGCTCAAGTCCTATACGATCTGGTGTATAGACAACAATATCTCGATAAGTCAGTATGTCAGGATTATGTGGCGGTCGAATGCGCATCCACATAACCTTGAAAAATAACAATTTTCATATGAATATATTGTAATAAACTCATCTCTACAAAACAAAATTTCATTCTTACTTCTTCAGCATCTTTTGTTGATGTTAATGTACATTGAAGTCGAACACGTTCGTTTTCCTGAATATCAAGTGTTTGAACATGACTAATATTAGCTGTGACTGAAGTGAAAAAAATACTAATAAGTAAATACCACCAATCCATTCATCAAAAAGACGTCTGTAATATGTTTCGTCGTTTAAAAATAATTAATTAAACACATATTATCATCTAATTGTACAAAGAAGAAGAAGAGAAAAGAGAAAAAGAAATGTAACATGTATTGTATTAATAAGAAGTGTGTCGCATTCCAGACTTCAAGTGTGCGTGTGTACTGTAAAGCGATGATGAGAAATTTACTATTTTTATGACAATATAGTTCTTCTTTACTATTGTACTGTCGTGCATAACAATCATTTGTATTCACACACACTGTATTGGTCAACTCATTTCATTGTCTTCATCACATAATTCTATGCATATATGTATATACGAGGCGACGATGAGCTCAACAAGAAAGACAACTGTTCGTTTTGTTCCTTCCTTTACCTCTAAATACAGACTAGTGTTGTCTTTAATTTAATGCGAGAACAAGAATAATTAAATTATCATCGTTGTTCAATATTTGATCATAATTTGTTCTCAGATCAACTGTCTCGATGCGCATCAATAGAATTGGACAATGACTGATGATTTTGATAAATACACAAGAGAGACATTTAAACCATGTTTGATCATAGCAAAAATGGTCAATAGTGGGCATGATCTTTAGTGATTGGTAATCAAAAATAATTATACAAGACATATGTATGTGTTAAGTGATTGAAGTAATATATAAAAATGATATAATACATATATGGAAACCAATATTAAGGAAAAAAGATCGTCGATTGGTCATCCGTGGGCTATTGATTTGATGTGAGAATATTATTGTATGCAAATCAGCTTGTGCGTTGAGCATATGAAGAAAAGAAAAAAAAATACAGATTGTAGATGAAGATCGCATCACCTATATCTTTTTTTTCTGCACATCATTTATTCTAACGAATATAAAGGAAGAATACTTTTCGTTAACTTATCTATTGATTCTCTTATGTGTTTACACAGAGAAAGTTCTTCAGCTTTGTGAATTGATAATAGAGAAAAATATCAAGCATTACTATCGAACAATTATTAAATTGAAAATTTGAATTGTTTTTACATCGCCAGAAGAAGATTATGCCTTCATCTACCTGTCACTTTCAATAAATATAGGATAGGACAATTTTTCTTTCTAGTTTCTCTCAACAATTAAAACTTGTTTTTTTTATCGAATTGTGAATATATAAATCTAATACTTCCATGAAAGAGATATAATCGAGATACAAATTAATAATTACTCACATTCTTTTCATAAGTTCTTTATTTGAAACAATTGTTGCCGAGATGAATATGATGAAAGACTAATGCGAATTGGTTGAGATGATGTCCTTCAAAAAAAATAAGAACTCATGAATGATAGTTATTTGTCTGTCCCATGTAAAAAACCTGATTTCAAAAATCGATCATAATCATACGATTTTAATCAATAATTTCAGCAGTAATAATCATAACAAAATCAGTATTTAATCGATTATTTCCATTATTATGATTATAATCGATTTTTAAAAATATTCTAAATCGATTTTACTCGAACTAACTGAAATAATCAATTAAATACTGATTTTGATATGATTATTACTGCTGAAATTATTGATTAAAATCGTATGATTATAATCGATTTTTGACCTCTCTAAAGCTGATTTTTTTTACATGGGATCTTACTTGACATTCTCATAAGGGATTGCTTTCAGTTGATTCTCATGTACACCAACAGTTTGTACAAGATCAAATCTATTGAAAAACAAAATCATAAAAAATTGATCTATTTGGTAAGAACTTTGAAATATACTTGATTGCATCTAGAAATTTCGATGGAAATTGTTTTTGAGAAGATTGGCTTCGTCTAAAATAGCAGCTTCAATCCTATAATTGAAATTACGATAAACTAACTACTCATGACAAAATATTGAAAAATCAATTTGATCTTCAAACATACGTAAGATTCGGATTGATTATCATTAATGAATTTTTATTTTTTCTAATTTTTCAAGAGAAAAATCTCTAACGAGAGAACATTCTCAAATGGTTGAATACTGATCAAGGTGATGTTTTATTTGTGAGAAGAGCTCAGTAATACTGGAAGAAACATCGAATGATTCGAGATGCTCAATTTTCCTTAGTGACTTATGGACTTTGTATTAGAATTTTAATCTGAAATTTTTCTTGTCATCAGATCTTATGTTCTTTAGAAAATGATACAAGTTTTAGCTAAAGTGAATACTTCCTTCCCGACATATTGATTGTTTAAAAACGATCATATTTCACAGAAAATATCAGAAGATAGACTTTTTTCTTGAAATATCTCGAGAACAATGTATGAGTTTTAGCTGAATCCATTACACTATGGTAAGGATCGTAAGGTCTTACTGTAGACGACATTTCAGACTAAAATTCCTTAATTAATTTTTTTAAAGATATTCACTTTAGACAAAGTCACAGCCACGACTTCATTCACATATGCATCCTCGCAAAAGTCGACATTCACACATTCATCCCTTTTCTGAGATTTTTCAATTTAGGAGAAGCGTCTGAAACTATTTCATGTTTTGTTTACGTAGCAATCTGTTCGGTGTATGTCAAAAAAAAACTTTTTCACCGTTTTAAAGATGGAAAACAAAGTCGCCAGTCACAACACCAAGTGTCTCCCATTCTGTGGTTGTTGTTTATTGAAAGTTGACATATATAGAGATTGAAAAAAAATTAGTTGTCGTGTGTCCTTGAAGGCAAGAGTTGATTTGATGAATTCGTTTGGATTCCGCATAAAGTTTACGGTGGGATTCAGTGATACGACTGAAAAAAATGTGCAATCCTAGTTACATTCGTTATCCTCAACAAGCGGCATCAGTTCTCAATGCTTGTCCCGATATCGAATTACGTGAGAAACAAGAATTGACAATCATTTGGTTCGATACCGAAATTATGATGGACGCTGACAATACACAATGGATTAAAAAACGACTACACACACTTAATCCCTATGTTCTTTTCTATTCTGATATCGATCGGCTATCGCTTTATCTTGAGACCGCTACAAATGGAACGATCATTTTGATAACAGCTCAAGCAAGCAACGCTCTTCTATCGTCAAAATGGAATGAAAATGTCCGAGTAAAATTATTTCACATTTCCACGTTCGATGAATTCGAACAAGTATTCTCAGATATCAGTCGTTATTTGAGCGAAATACTTGAAAATAAACGTACAAGTGTTGGTCTCATGCTTGATGTTTCACTCAATATGTCACAACGTGACGTAAGAAACGAGTCGTTTCGTATTTTATGCTATCGAATGTATAAAAAAATTCTCCTCGATACGAATTCGATTTCCAGTGACAAAGCCAAATCAGAATTTGTCACACTTTGTCGTAATCACTATTGGATGATGTATGCAGATCATATACTTCAATTTGAGAACAGCTATTTATCAGACGATGCTGTTCGATGGTACACAAAGGACTCATTTGTTTACATACTTGTTAATCGTACTTTACGCACACAAGATCTAGAAAGTTTGTATGTACTTCGATTTTATTTACGTGATTTGACAGAGTGTCTTCGAAAAAATTAGAATATTTGGCGAGATACTGTCGATCGAGGCTCTGCTATTCGATTGTCTCGACCAATGGTTATTGGTCGACAAGTCGAAATGAAGAAATAGCCAAAATGTTCGGATCTATTGATACACCACCTGTCGAGGCCAATGGTGAATCGGTACTATTCGAGATAAGTATCAATTTAAATACGAGCAATTGTATTCTTGCAGACATTAGTCGATATTCGGACATGCCTGAAGAAGAGGAAGTTCTGTTCGATTTAGATGCACCATTTATTATTGAAAATGATGTTCCCTAATGGCTTGTGCACACTAATGCAGTCAAGGACAGTGGAATGGCATGTATTCTCAAGAGTATCGAACAGCGTCATTTATACGATTCAACAGACTTCGATGTCATGTGGAGTGCACAGTGAAATGACAATCCGTTCGACTGTTTACTACAGCTTAACAATCAACTTCATTATTTACATCGGTTCGAAATGATGATACTTGATTGGTCGAAGATAGTTGAAGTCAAAGAAAATGATGCATCATTGTTACACTACATCACGAGTGTAAAACTCATTTTAAGTGTTGGATCACGACCTGAGTTGAATATCGACGAGCAAAAAACACTTTGTCAAGCGATCATGCATTTAACATTGTCGACACATTTATTAACACTTGACAAACGTTATGAACTAGTTCGATGGCCACAACGTGTTATTGGATTGATCTATTATAAGGGTTGCGATTATGTACGTGCTCCCGAGCAATGGACACGAATTATGGATGATAATGACAAAAATGACTCGTTTCATAAGGCAATCTGTTGTTTCTATCTTGATCTTACTTACAGCAAATTAAAACATTATAAACAAGCAATTGAAGTGTTTGAACGAGCACTTGTTCACACTTGTAATATGCCAGCGATTTTCGAAGCTCAATGTCAAATGCAAATTGGTCATTCAATTGAGCTCCAAGGAATCGACTTCCCTCGTTGTTTTCAAACAGCTAGAGTTCATTATGAAAAAGCGCTCGATTTATATGAAAATCATATTGAACCTCCGGATGAAGTTGCGTTGGCACTGTGCTACGCAGTTATTCGCAATTGTCATTTCTTCGAGAATGCATTCAGTGAAGACGCCAATCGATATTATTTGAAAGCGATCCACGTATATGACGCTATTTTTCTATTACAAGCACCGCCACCCGTTCTTACTCAAGCACGTCTTATTATCGTTGGTGTTCTCTTTCATATTGCTCTCACTTACTACCAAGAATTTTCGATGATATAGAAAGCTCAAGAATGTTTTCAACGTATTATTACCTATTTCATAGAACATTGTCCATTTGACAATTTCGCATTGTCTCATCGTTATATTGGTGAGATTAATTATTCACACTATGACCAATATCAGCAAGCAGTGGAACATTTCCAAGCTTCAGCAAATTTCTACGAGTTGCATTTCTCTGAAGACTATTGGGAATTAGTTCTATGCAATAAATGGCTCGCCATGGCGCATTTCAAATTAGAGCTGTATCAATTAGCGATCGACTATGGCTTAAAAGCTGTAGAATTTACTTAATAAACCACGATTGTCTCAGCCAACAAACAAATTTGTCAGTAACGAGTTTGTCTTTTTGAAAAGAATAACCTCTTTTCAACAAAAGAATCAAATAGCTTATAATGAACAAACTCTTTCTGAAACGTATAGGTTAGTATATTTGGCTCTGATCATTTTCAGACTTGCTGTTTATTATGGGATCTTATAGGCTCATTGGAGATGTATACGAACAGATGCACGATCTCGATTTGGCACTGGCAGCATACGAATGTGCTCTTGAAATAAATCAAGACTTTTAACCTATCTGCAGAGGTGCAGAATCTTCCTCATGCGCCCCCGCGCGAGGGGGGAAATTTTTTGAAAAACTCAAATAATAGGGAAATTTTGGAAAAACCCGCTGGCCAAAAAAAATACAGTGGGGAAATTTTTCAAAAAACTTTTTTGCGTTGGGGGAAATTTTTGGATTTTTGGAAGATTCTGCACCTCTGCCTATCTGTCAATTAGAAACAGTTATTACCGAAAGTCGATTAGGAGTTTTGCTTGACAAAGAAAAAGAAACGGAAGAAGCATCGACTTATCAAAGAAAAGCATTGAACCATCTTAAACATCTTTATACGACAGTCGATGGTTAACGGGTGTCTCTTTCTCTTCATTCCAGGATAATCTCATTCCTAATATCAATCTGCACAACGATTCGTAGATAAAAGTTCCTCTTCAAAGTTAGCACAAAAAAAGAATGCACTCAAATAATTGCTTTTTCGATCTATTGGAATTTATAAAACTTGTCTTGAAAATAAAATAATTTTGTCTACCATAACATCAAAATTCCATTGACATCAATTGATAGAGGGTCATGATTATTATAAGTTTGTATATAGTGTACGTCACAAAATACATCAATCAAAATCAGCCTAGTATTTGTGACTCTACTTTTAATAAATTTCTGATAGCGTCTGTAGCAAAAGTCTTTGCTCAAAACTTCCTGTGTTTCTCGAATATTTAAAAGCAAATAGTGAGAGGATGTGGATGTGAATGTTAGATCTTTTTATCTACATTCACACCATTTCGATGTATAAAATTATTTGATTGAACAACGTGTCCTGCTTTGTGTTGAGTAAATTTATTAAAAATATGATTTACACCGAAATAAAATTTTGTATGGAACTCATTTTTGGTCAGTTCAATCATTCACTCACACCCAGTTCCAATTCTAACTGATAAATCGGAAAGCTCACTAACTCTTTTAAATGGATGTCAAATGAACAAACATTTTCTTGCAACAAAAAAAAAGCTTCTCATATTAATTCTAATTGAATTCTGCATCATTTACGTAATAGTTTTGACGAGAATTCATAAAAAATCATTTGCAAAATGAATTTTAACCAAATATAAATTCTATTTTTGCGTCATAATAGTTTGATTGATAATATCATGAGAGAACCATTTTAAATAGTAAAAATCTTTTAAGATGAGACTTTCGGCATTAGATAGAACTTATTGAACCTAGACAAAGTCGAAAAAGAATCGTGACATTGAGGTTTTCTTCTCGTGTTACATCTAATTTTTTTTCCATTTTAATCTATTTAAAGACAGATCATAAGAAAAGAAGTTTTTTTTAATTCTGATATGAAATTTTTCGTCTCGATACATAGGCTTCTTTATAAAGTACATTTCTTTTACTGAAAGCTCAAAAATTTTATATTTATTTTGAGTCCTGTATCACAATACGAAAATATCCATTTTAACTGAGACTTTTGTGGACAAAATAGCAGATCGAAATTCCAAAATACAACTGTTTACGATATATCTTTAAATAGATTAAAGTATAATATATTATATGTAACACGAGAAGAAAGATCCAATGATACAATTCATGTTAGACATTGCCTAGTCTCCACAGATCTGAACTAATAATGAAAATCTCCCTTAAATGCTTTTTATCACTTGAAACGCTCCTTGACAGATACATATCTTATTCTGAAAAACAATGAGGCAAGATGCCTCTGCTGATGTCAATCAAGTAGTTTCACGTCTGATGGAAGCACTGTTTTTCTGTCTTGCTATTTGAAAATGCAAATTTATCAGGAGTAATGAGCTATTGAAGGCTCATTCTCCCACTCATAGTTACGTCCCTGACGCTCTTTGAGTATTGTTTTTATTGATGTTTACTTGTCTTCGATCTTAACTTTCTTATAGATGATATGAAAAATATTAATATACTATGTTAAGTTTTGTTAAGTTACATGCCAATAAAAGACATTGAAAGATTTTTTAGCATCTGTTTTTTCTCGTGATCAAATAATAGTTATTTTCTCTTGAAATTTACTACTTCAAAAAATTTTGAAAATTGACTCACTTGTTGATAACAATACTTTCGAAAACTATTTTTCGATATTCGAGCAGGAGAAGTTACTAGTGCATGCATTATAATATGAATAAGTGAAAAATGAATACTCTGCCTAGTTACAAAAAAAAAAACAAGTATGTGTTGTATTTGTTGAATGCAAGAGAAAATTAGAATTGATTTTTGAATAAAAGAAAATCATTTTGTAGTTGTGCAACTAATTGAAAGAAGATATTTGTCTAAGTTTAATTTTATCTAGAAGGAGAAAATGCTTTAGCTTCTTGTATAAATAATATGTAAATAAATTAAGTATTACAATCGAACAATTATTAAATTGAAAATCTAAATTACTTTTCACAGTTTGGAAATAGATTGTAGGTGCATGTACGTAAACCTTTCAATAAATATAGTACGGTTTTTTCTGATTTCTCTCAACAGTTCCAATAAGACTAATTAATCAGTCATATTCTTTTCATAAATATTCTTTCTTAACAATATACATAGACCAATATAAATCCTAGTGAATAATTTAATTTATTTGTCAAGTAAACAAAAGAGATAAATATTATACAACGAGAGAAAAATCCAAAAATAATAATAATCATAATCATAACAAAAAAACCAAGTAAACATTGACAACGAATATCTGAGCAAAACAATTCAATCACATATTTTTTTTTTTTGATATCTTAAAACTCTGAATTAAAAACAAAATAATCTAATTGATAAGACAAAAAGATGATTATACATACAATTCTCTGTGTTTTGAATTACACTAATAACTTTCTAAATACAAATAAATACAATGAATTAAATATTTAATAAAACTTTCTTACTGTTGATTTGACTTGAGCAGTAGAAACAACAGTCGGTTGAACGTGATAATATAACATATACGTTGATGCACTATGAACTATACCTCTACAAATAAAACAAAAAATATGAATTTGAAAGAAAAAGAAAAAGCTATTTGATTTCTACCCAGATCGATTGAATGGAGAGGAACGTCGTCGTCTTTTTTGTTGTTGAGATGAATATGATGAAAGACTAATACGAATTGGTTGAGATGATGTCCTTCAAAAAAAAAAAAAGAAAAATTCATAAATGATATTTATTTGTATCCATTTTACTTGATATTTTCATAAGGAATTGTTTTTAGTTGATTCTCATCTAAACCAACAGATTCTACGAGATCAAATCTATTGAAAAACAAAATCATAAAAAAATTGAACTATTTTGTAAGAAATTTGAAATATACTTGATTGCATCTAGAATTTCCGATGGGAATTGTTTTCGAGGAGATTTACTTCGTCTAAAACAGAAACTTCAATCGTATAATTAAAATCATGATAAACTAACTTCCGACGACGAACAACTATTTTCTTCTGTTGTGAATTATCAAGTTCATCACATGTTGTTGTTTCATAGGATGTATTTATGGTTGTTCTCATCAAATGATTAACATTTGGTGAACTTCTAATATATATTGACAAGATGCAAAACAAAAGGTTTTTTTTTCTTTTACTTATTTATCTTACATTGCACGTTTATTATCATTAAATTGCAATTCATTGATCGATCTGTTATATAAATGTCATTTATTCAAAGTATTATTGAATTTATTTTAATATTTGGTTTATGAATAATAGTCGATAAATTTATAGTAATACAAAAAAAAGGTATCAACGCAGATGAATAAGTTCAACTAACATGAAAAAACAACGCTATTAGTAAACAGACAAGTATCGACAAAGAAGGAGATGTATTTCTTTGATATACGTATAACATAAACTAAAATTAGAATTAGTAAATTCACCAATTCTCCTGTAATGATATCAAAATTAATTCTGATAGAAAATTTGGACTACGAAAAAGTCATTTTAAATATAGTATACGTCTACACCACGAAATTACGTAGTTAAAGTTAATCTTTTATGTAAAAAAGAAGTATGCAAAGTTCATTATTAGGTGTTAATATTTGCTTGAAATAGTTGATTTAGCAGTAATAAGTGAACATTAAGCTGAAATCATCCTTCATAGTAGCCATTTGCTCAATGATACTGCAAATTTAATTGTTTTCCTCAGAAATTAAAGAAGTAATGTTCATTTTTTTGTCTCTTAAAAGTCACAATGTCTAGAAAAGTATTAGGTATTCACTTTTGTCTTACGTGATGCTACTATCAATACTAGAAGAGCTATTCATAATGTCTAAACTATAATTTTCTCGACTATTATTCGTACCGACCAATTTTTGTTTTCTCTTAAATATCTTACCCACGTTTTGTTTTATTTAATCGAAGAAATTTACGTCGTTCAGTTTCACTATCATTAGCAAATGTACTAAATATAAAAACGAATTATAAAGTTATACAAAATTTATATTAATTTACACTGATCGTCGTTTAGATACATTATGATGATCATCATGTAGAACAGCTTCATTTATTGATCTTGATGATGATTGCTTTTTTAAAGTACTATAATCAATAAAAAGAAAAAAAAAATTTTATGAAAAATGAAAAAGAAAAAATCAATTTGATCATCAAAAAGTATGTAAAACTCTGATTGCTTGTGTTGTTCATTTTGATGTAATAAAATTTACTGGTCTTAACTGAAATGATTCGAACCGTTCGATTTTTCTCTTTCCCAAACTATGATCGTTTTATTAGAATTTTAGGCTACTGAATGTATTTAACGAAAAAGAAACAAATTTAGAAATTTCAATTCGAATGTTTTCGTATCATCAGATCTTATAATCCTTAGAGTATCATAAAATTTTCAACAAAAGTGCAAACTTTTTAAATATCTCGAGGAGAAAATATCAATTTCAAATTTTTTCAAGTTTCGCTGAGTTCTTCTTATGACTAAAATACCTATGTGATCATCTCCGTACTTGTTTTAACTATATCATCTCGATTACTATTAAAACTCAAATCACTTACTACTGTCTAATGTGTGATTGTGTAATTGTACTTGTATTCGATTTGGTTCGATCTTTTTGTACTCTTAAAAATAAAAATCTTTCATTCAATATTCTATAAACATATACTTCGTTCTTACTTTGCGCTCATTATAGAACCATTATCATTCGTTGGTAAATCTGATACAAATAAATTTTCATACATTTACGAAACATCTAACAATGCAAACATACCACGTTTAAGAAAATATCGTTTAATACATTTATTTGTAGGCTCATCTTGTGAATCACGTCGGACAGTTAGACAACCACAGAATTTCATCTGTAAATAATAGAAATCAAATTTTGTCGGAAAGAACCACTACAGAAAAATTAAAGTCTTTCAAATCTACTTATGAAAAAAAAATAAAACAACGCATAAATTTAATTAAAAAAACACTCGAAAGCATTTGACAATTCAAGGTTCTCCTGAAATCATAATCTCAATTGATCTTTCATCGATTCTTGTTAATTTACCATATTTGTTGATTAAGATCTACATTGATTAATTTTGTTCTAACATAATCATAAATAATTTTTTTCAACAATTCAAAAAATGTCTACAAATACTTGCCATGCTGTTAAATTACGGCTATTACATTCAAATGCATAGTGTTGCTTTTCGATTCCAATCATGTCTAAATAATGAAACAACTTTGAAATTATCCCAGATAATCATGTTTCTCGTCAGACGTTCTGTGTGTACATTTAATTACTTTAAATGGGTCGGGTTATTAAGAGTATCTCTCTCGTTTTTCATAATTTCGGATTCTAGAAGAGATTACAATCGACCCACCAGAGATTTTTACCGTAGATAAAGTATATAAAAGAGGCAAAAGAGTGTTTGATGAAAAATTATTAAAAATTTTATACGACTAAGCTGAAATTTTTCTTTTTGAGATATCTTAGATATATATCTCGAAGGTATTTTTGAGCTTTTTCGAAACTCTCGTTTTTTTTTCATATGAAACAAATGCATAAAGGCTTGGATCTTAAAACGAGGTATTAGCATTTAGAACACTGTAAATTCGAATAGGAAGGTCAAGAAGGGCAAAACTCTCTTGAATTTGCGAAGAATACTTTCGATTGTCTATGGTAAAAATTTCAACTCTATCGGATATAGTTAGATGAGGGTCGTTGTGTGATCAGATGCGGTCTATGGAAAACTAAGCTTATTCAGAAACCACCGTGTTTAATATTTTTTCCCTCAAACATGTGTTTCCTTAAATACTAAAATGTCTATATTAATCATGAAAGAATAGAGATGTATGAATTGAACAAGGAAACTATTTAAGCAATCAAACTTCATATTTTAAACATTCTTTTCTCAAGTTAAGATAGTCAATTGATATTGTATAGGTTTCAATATCGATATATCTCGCTTTTTTAATTGCCCCAAGGATCTCATAGATCTCTATTTAAAAGCAAATAATTTACTAGAAGTGTGTGCAAAAAGCAAGATTGTAACAACCAGTACGAAGATTTATATATTATAAATGAAATGATTTGAAAAGTACAGTTGTTTTGTATATGATAAATTGATTTATTTGATAACGTTTTGATAAACTAGTTAATATTTAGTCATTAGTTCTACATTAAAACAAGACTTATAGTTATTAGAGAAATATGTTTCGTTTTTGACTTGTTCAATAAAATCAATCCGTAAATGCTAGACCATTAATCATTAAAGCATTGGTTGCTGATAATTTTGATTTCTTAATATTAATAACAATCGCTGGCTTTGTTTATATGCTGGAAATTTTTTCAAAAAAGTTTTAACACATAAAAAGAAAGAAAAATGTTCTCACTTACTATGTTCATCTTTTAATAGTCTTTAATTAACCTTGGTTACAACTTCTGAACTTGTTTTTAAATTCTAATAATAATAAAAACTGCTTTTTTTATAAATTTCAATCTTAGCAATATATTAATTGAACCAATACATATTTTCTTTTATATAGTAGATGTACTAAACGAAAAATGAGGTTTGGATGAGTTAATTAAAAGAGACAAGTCATTTTCACATTGCTTTATATAAGTAACCATATCAAGAATATTTGTTCAATTCAATGGAATAGTATCAAGTAATTGAATTGATTCCTATCAATGAACATCTAGTATCATTTGATCTTGATAAAAGATTAATGGCAGTTATTAGTTCAAATGCGAAACTTAAATCATGTTTCCATTTCTGTTACATATATAAACTGCATATTTTAAAGATTTCAAAATTTCATTCGTCTAGAGAAAAAAAAAGAATCCTTCGCTAATCAAAGATAAAACTATTTACCTATCGGCACCAGCATATGCAAGTAAAAGTTGTTTTTCATCTTGAATCTTAAAACTTGAAATGAAAGATACAGTTTAAAAATGAAGATTTAAAATTTAACAAACTTTAGCTATGTCATCGCTAATATCTGAAGTAAGAGCATGATTACTTGATGGAAAATACTCATTTGAACGAATACATGTTTTATGATCAGTAGAATAAATAACTGAGGATAAAAAACTTCTCAAAGAATCCTCATGAAATAAGTTATTCGTTCTATCTTCTTGACTTTCTATACAGATTGCCATTATCATTGTGACGACTAACTAAAAAATAAACTTATCAAAACAAAAGAAGAACTCATTAAATCTTACAAGTGATGAAATCATTGGATGAATTACATAAATATGAATTTTTTTATCTTCATTACCTGTAGCCAATAGTTTATCAGAACAATAAAACAGTAACAATTATTCACTTCTTGATGATCAATCATGCGATTGAATCATTGCCAAGTGTTAATACTATTTGTTCATAAAAAACTCACTAATTCGTCTAATATTCTGTTTACAAAATAGGTAGTCTTATATATATGTAAAGCTTCTCAATAAATATTTCCTATCAACAAGATGTCAAAGTTGTAGCTATTCAATGAAAATTCGAAATAAATGATTCAGCTCAGTTTTCGTTGGAAAAACTACGATTGGAATACAACAAATAGTGAAAAAAAGAAAGAAAGAAAGAAAGAGTCAGTTATTTGTTATCTTTGATGATTGAATCATATGTTTATGATTCAATCATATGAGGGCTGAATATATGCATTTAGTATGAATTTCATTTTGAAAAGCTGACATCAACATCATGTGAAATAGATCACTGATATAGATTATTTATGACGTTGAATTCATCTGGTCAACTGAAAATAAGAAACTTGGTTTTAGCGACATCTTGCGTTTTCACTGTTCTCACGTAGAATCTGTTGCATTTACTTCTGTTAAAACGTCACTATAGTGTAGCACCATCCTTTCTGTGAAACTTATATTGTGTATAAAATTGAAACATATAGATGAGTTATACCGCATCATTCAACATATGCCCACTATGATTTTTATGCAGCTGCCTTCATCGAGTCTAGATGTTGCCTCACTAAGCACACTCGACATTGATTCGTATTTCTCGCCATACTACTTACCATCAGATCACATACTACATGATTGTGGTAACGAGCTAAAGAAATATCGCCAATTAAAGAAAGATAAAGATATCATTATAGAGCACATAGGATTGTCTGATGGCAATTGAATTTACTGCGAAAAAGTTGCTACAAACAGAGAATGAATGTGTGGACAAAAAATAATTCTCTGCCTAAAATCTCATTACATCGCGTAGTACGAAAATCAATACAGAGGATCATGAAGCCATTTTGAATTCACAACCCATTGCATGCATCAATCGCCAATTAGTCATTGTGATCTAATAAAACGAATATTTGTAAGAAAACATAATTTATCATTCTGGTTGACTTACAACTTTCGTTAACTAGATTAAAATGATGTGCTATTCAGTTAATTTCTATTCTCTTGAAAAGGTGAGGTCTACCGAAGTCTTTTGCAAAATTCGATAGTTCTTCATTCGTTGACGCTAAAAGTTTGAGTTAGAACTATATAATGATGGAAAGAGTGTATGAGTTTATACCTCCGACTTTTCAACTTTTCTTTTCACTAAAACAAAAAGTTTGAGAAGAAACTATTTATAATTTTACCGAAGACGCTAAACTTTTGAAGATTTTATTCGTTACTTATTAAGCTATGTAAGTTTCTAGATAATTTCAAAAGCCGTGCCAGATAAAAAATGATTGCAACTGTTAAGAAGAGTTCTATCTTGCATCCCATTTTTTATGCGAAACTTCTTTTAAAAAATATGATTCTAGTTCAAGTTGTTTGAACTAAGGTAGATCATTTTTTGAATGCGATTTAACTGAATATGAGTGTAGATACGAAAGAAAAGCACACCTATACCCACACCTAATTAAGTCGCACCAGTTAATCTTTAATATTACCGAAATCAGTTTTGCCTGTTGACCGTTTCTTATGATTATTATGGATTAAGTGATCAATCAGCGCTTTGCTTAGAAATAATATTATTGGTCCGTCCTTAGGTCAAACCTTTTTTGTTACCAGCTTGTTAGTAATACCTGAAATAGATTTTTATTGAATCATAGATTTCTTCAATAGCTGCGTATTTATAGATCCTTATTATGGTTGTTGTGGGTAAATACATCAGGACACTCACACTCACACCCTGAATGGTGTCTCTAGTTGCCTTCTTCACTGAGGACATATCAGTCTAACTCGGAGAAATTCTTAGTATTCGACGTTGAAATAGGCTAACAATCATTACAGCTAAAAATGATAAGATGATCATTAAATCACCATAGGTTCAATAAGAGTTTTTATTTCCTCTATTAGATTTCTGTTTCTAGTAGATAAACTATTAGCATATGTTGAACGACCACAACTTACGTGAAACTCGTAGAGCCGATTCAGATTTTCGTGATCGTGTCATGATGAAGTGAGCAGAATGCGGGTAATGAATTTTAGTTTGACTATTAAGCCACCTAGTACACTAATGTGTCTTGCCAGTTGAAACATGAGGTCACTTCGTTGTACACTTGAATAGACATATGCAATGGGTGCACATAAAGCATAATATTTTTCATATGAGATGATTCTCAACTACTGTTCTACTATGAGAAAATCGATGATAGATTGCACTATGGAATTCGCACGAAATGATTTTGGTCAAGTTCTAGCATTGCTATGAATTTCTTGATCTTGGAAAAAAAAAACGGAATGAGTTTGTTCAAGCACGTCTGATTGTAGAAAGATTCGAGTGTCGAGAGGAGAATAGAATCCACTGGCAAACAGCCAGTTACAAACTCAGGAATTTTCAGCAGCCAGCTCGTTTTGAAAACACTGGGAGAATATCATGTCACCTCTGGAAGTGAAGGTGAT